TACGTTTTCTCTATTGTATTGCAGTCATGAAAGGTGTGGGTTTAGGAATAGTAGGCATCATCACACTACTTACAAATGCATGGTTGTACAAAACATGGCATCAAAACGAGTTGAAATGAAAATGATGACGTATGAGTGGAGTTTTTTGTCTACTCCATGGTACGAGGACATCATTTCGGTGCCTCGGGGAAGAGTTAAAAATCGGTATGAACAAGTTCTCATGTTACTTTAACAGTGACAATGAGCGGTGAGGGCTCCGATAGCGAATCAGTCCTACAAGAAGTGCCTAGCGATCACTCGAGCAGCTGTACGCCTTCTACATCTGGTGCCTCCTCACCTTGTTATTCAGTTTCACGTCGACGGAAGGACAAAATGAGGAAACAGGCGTCTCGTAGCCGATACCTCCTCGCTATCGAGGACAGGAATAGGCTACGAAAACTAGCTGGTAAGTTTGTGGATAGTTTTACTTTTTAGAGCTTTCCTTTGTGGGAGCTTCATCCAACTGTTTTAGCACGGAAAGTGAGGATTGCATCGAATGCAGTCTCTGCAATAACGTTTTTGCGTTGGAAGAAGAAGGTACTGTTTCGACACCGGTGAAAGCCACACATAAATAGTCCCTAGCAACCAGCACTTCAGATTGATCGAAAATTTGAAAAACAATTTGAGAAGAGCAGGGGAAGCCTTCGGAGGTTACAACAAGAGAACGACCTCCTTCGTGCTCACCAGCGGACCTTCATCGAAGGCGTTAGTTTTGGTCTATTAAACCAAGCAAGCTAAATTAGCAGGACAACGAAGTTTTAGTGCAACGCTCTAGAAAGTTGTGCTGTGATGCTGCAATTGAGGTTGGAGCAACAATTAAGTTCTTCGGAGTTCGACTACCCCTCCTCACATGACTTCTTCTTCCCACACAGTTGAGCATTCGTACTCAGATTTGTATCTCCAAAAGGGTGGTAACTGGTAAGGATAACTGTCGAGGTAGTCTTGGTGGTTTGTGGTCGAAAAGAGTGAGTGCAAAACTGTAGAAACTAACATAAACAAGATGTAAATGAGATCTCATGTTATACGCGTGGTACAAAACTACAAAACACTAAGTTGAATCGTCAATCAGTCTTTCAAGCTGCTGCCTTCTGCATGTAAATTTTCTTGTAGTGCCATTTTTTGGTGCATCAGTACATAGTTTATGCATAGTTCTTTTTTTTTTTTCAAATAAATTTTGTTTTTTTATGTGTTGGAATCG